TCCTCTGATGCTGCTTGGCCTGCTGTGTTCATCCTACTGTCTCTGAGTCAGTTTTTAACCCCACTGCAAAGCCTCTTCTATCTCAGATTCTCCAGCATCGGCAATTCCTACTCTTTCTGGAGATGATGAAGAGGACTCGTTGTGGCAGGTTGTCGAGCTGTGCTGATTGAATCTGGTCACTCGAGGGGCTGACGCGAGTCACAGAGAAGACTACAGCACGGAAACAGGCCCTTCGGCCCAACTTGTCCCTGCTGCCTGGTTTTCACAACTTATACTAGTCCCATTTGCCCGCGTCTGGTCCATATCCCTCCATACCCATCCTATCTGTGTACCTGTCTAAATGTTTCTTAAACATAAATAGGAGTTGCTGGAGAAGCTCAGCAGGTCTGGCAGCATCTGTGGAGAGAAATCAAGAGTTAGCGTTTCGGGTCCAGCGACCCTTCCTCAGAACCGATGGTAGCTGGGAAAATGTCGGTTTATATGCAGAAGATAGGGTCGGGGTAAGGAATAAACGATAGGTTGGGATAGAGCCCAAAGAGAGAGAGAACAGTTGGATACACAAAGGAGTGGATAATGTTCTGGCTTGGAGGGTGAATAGCTGTTAATGAAGGCTGTTCGTGGCTAACAATGGGTGGTGTGTAATAGCAAATTATATGATAACAAGGCCTAGTGTGCACGGATTGTTGGGGTGAGGACATGGGAGAGCACAAAAACCCTAAAGTTACTGAACTTGATATTGAGTCCAGAAGGCTGCAGGGTCACCAAGTGGAAAATGGGATGCTGTTCTTCCAGCTTGCGTTGAGCTTCGCTGGAGCACTGCAGCAAGCCTGAGACAGAGACATTGGCCAGGGAACACGGTGGTGAGTTGAAGTGGCAGGCAACTGGAAGCTCAGGGTCTTTTTTGCGGACACCATGTAGATGTTCTACAAAGCAGTCACCCTTCGTTTCCCCAAGGTAGAGGAGACCAGATTGTGGCAGCAAATGCAGTAAACTAAATTGTGGGAAGTGCAGGTGAAGTGCTACTTCACCTGGAAGGTAGGTTGAGGCCCTTTGATACTCAGGAGTGAGGAGGTAAACAGACTGGTGTTACACCTTCTGCGGTTGCAGTGGAAGGTGCCATGAGGCTGTGGGGGTTGGTGTTGGGAGTGAAGGAAGAGTGGACCAGGGTGTTCTGGAGGGAATGGTTCCTGTGGAAGCTGGACAAGGGAGGGGTGAGGACTATTTGTCTGGCAGTGGCATCTCGTTCGAGGTGGCAGAAATGGTGGTTAAAGATCATCTGGATGTGAATGCTTGTGGGATGCTAGGTAAGGACAAGGGAGATCCTACTGCTGTTGCTGAAGGGAAGACAGGGTGTAAGGGCTGAAGTGCAGGAGATGGGTCAGATCCTGCTGAGGGCCCTTTCAACAACAGTGCTGGGGAATCCTCGATTGAGGAAGAAAGTGGACATTTCAGAGGCCCCTCTGTCGAAGTTTCTTCAATTGTACCCACAACCACCACTGCCTCTGGAAGCCTGTCCCAGACACGCACCAACCTCTGTGTGAAAAAAACTGGCACACTGGACCCGTTTTGCATCTCTTCCCCTCTCACCTTTAACCTATGAAGAAGTGACCACAGAATCTGCTGCATTATTGCAAAAAGCCAATTCATTCACTCATGTCCATCAGTGAAGGGCTGAATCGACAAAAGACCTGATCTCTTTGAGAGGAGAGACAGACAGAAGACATAGAGGGCGAAGGAGAGATTTCCTCAATCTTCAGCTTGACCAGAATTGACAGATTCTTCCGAAAAGACTAACCTACAACTGCTCGAAGTGTTCACCAACATCTACCACTCTGATCCTATCACTTCCAATCTCCCCTCCGAACCACTCTGCATTCTTACTTGGAAATATGTCCCTCCCTCAGAGCACACTGAATCTACCTACAGCACATGGACTGCAGCGATTCAAGAAGGCAGCTTATCACCACCTTCTCAAAGGGGGTAACTAGGAATGGGCAATAAATGCCAGACCAGCTAGCAACACCCGCATTTGAATTAAAAAAAATACAGAAGAGACATGATCCACAGCATAGGGAAGACAGATCCTGACGATGGAAGATCCTGTGGGATGAAAAAGCTGAAAAACCTGCAGGACACAGTCAGGGTTGGGCAGCAGTGGAAACTTCATTTGGACACAGTTGACAGAGGAAAGAACGTGTGGTATTTTGGAAAGGCAAATCAGGGGAGGACTTGTATACTTAATGGTATGGTCTTGGGGAGTTTTGCCAAACAGAGACACCTTGGGTGCAGATGCATAGTTCCTTGAAGGTGGAGTCACAGGTAGACAAGACTGATGAAGGGTCTAGGCCCGAAACATTGACTCTCCTACTTCTCTGATGCTCCATGACCTGCTGTGTTCCTCCAGTTCCACACTGTATTGACTCTGACTTCAGCATCTGCAGTTCTTGCTATCTCATGGTGAAGGAGGTGTTAGGTATGCTTGCCTTTAATGGTCAGTGCGCTGAGTATAAAATTAGGAGATCATGTTGCAGCTGTACAGGACATTGGTTAGCCAACTTTTGCTCCAAGAAAGATTTTGTTAAACTTGAAAGGGTGCAGTAAAGATTTACAAGGACGTTGCCAGGGTTGAACAGTTTGAGCTATAAAGAGAAACTGGATAGGCTGGGCTATTTTCTCTGGAACGTCGGAGGCTGAGGGGTGACATTTTAGAAGTTAGTAAAATCATGAGGGGCATAGATAAGGTGAATGGCCAGTGTCTTTCCCTAGGGTGAGAGGTTTCAAGAAGTGAGGGGATATATTTTAAGGTGACAGGAAAAAGATTTAAAAAGGACATGAGTGGCAGTTTTTTTTAAAACACAGAAAGGTGACCTTATAGAGGTTTATAAAATAATGAGGGGTATAGATAGGGTTAATGCCAGGTGTCCTTTCCCGAAAATCAAGAATTACAAGGCCAGAGGGCATATTTTTAGGGTGAGAGGAGACAGATTTAAAAAAGACATGGGGGCAATATTTTTACACAGAGGATGGTTCGTGTGTGGAATGAGCTTCCAGAGTAAGTGGTGGATGTGGGTACAGTTACAATGTTTAAAAGACACTTGGATAAGTACATGAAGTGGAAAGGTTTGGAAGGATATGAGCCAGGACCAGGCATATGGGACGAGCTGAATTTGGGATTATGTTCAGCATGGACTGATTGGATTAAAGGGTCTGTTTCCATGCTGTATGACTCTATAAGTGATAAGGTTTTGGAACTCAATGCTTACACTCAAAGCCAGTAATAGTGGATTGTGAAATGTTTGGAGGGATATGGGCCAAGTGCAGGGAGGTGGGAGTAGTTTAGTTTGGAATTATGATCAGCATGGACTGATCGGACCAAAGGGTCTGTTTCTGAACTGTATGACTCTTGAGTGAGGCTATGACTCTATAACTAGAGCCTGATGAATTGGGTCATTCTTTAAAATTTTGATGTGATGTTTAGTTTGAGTCTCCCATCTGCAAATTCTCTTCTAACATACTATGTTTTAAAAAAAGTTTACAAAAGCTATCACAGTCAGTCTCGGATAGAAATTCAGGCGAGACAAACATTTCTCTTGGAGAGAGCAGGATTAACATTTCTAGTCCAGTGACATATTTTTGGAACTGGGCTCTTCTGAAAAAGGGTCACTGGACTCAAAACATTAACTCTGCTTTCTTTCCATGGATAATGCCAGACATGCTGAGCTTCACAGCAATTTCTGTTTCAGCAGATTATTTGTTTTTGTTTCGCTTGATTTGAGTTTGCTGTGTGAAAATCCGACCCCCTGAAAAAAAATGAGTTTTTAAAATCCATCCCTGTCAGACCAAGGATAGACATTCACCATATTCTCTCTCCTGGCCCAGGATGACGGGCGCTGTGGGTCTTCCAGCGACTGAACAGATACATGGGGCAGGATGTGATTGCATGAGATAGCATGTTACAGAGTGCAGGAATTGCTTCCTTCTCTGTCTCTCTCCTCCTCCGACGTGGCTCTGCCTCAACATTGACGCCCTGGGACCCAGAGCCTGGACCAGTTTTGATGGACAGGTTGCTCTCATCGTGACATCACAAACATTCCAAAACTACTGCCCTCTACAAAGATGGCGGACGCCGCGCGTGCTCCCTGTTGCCCATTGCCCCCTATAAAGATGGTGGCCGTTAGCCCAGGGCCTACCGTTGGAAGGAAGCCTCACTCTATCGTCCCGTTTGATGTAAAGCCGAGGGCCACAGCTTGTTTATTCGGGATTGGCCGCGTACACAAAGTGTTTACGAAGCCTCCTCAAATGCCCATCCGGTCCACCGCCTCTTCCACGCCGCCTCAAACCTACCTTTTTTGCGGAGCCGAGAAAAAGAACAGTCACTACTCCACAGCATCGTGTTCACTGCGCATGCTCCGGATGTGGGCGGCAATGAGTATGCGCACAATCCGGTTGATGGGAGGTGAATGGGCATGTGCAGCCCTGCAAATAGAAAGAGAGGAAAAGGGAGGAACGTAGGAACAGGAGGAGGCCACTCGGCCCCTCGGGCCATTCGACGAGATCTGTGGCCCAACACACTCCACATGCCTGCCTCTGGCCCATAGCCTTTAGCTTTCTTTTGTTAAGCAATAGGTACCATCTCACAT